AGATCTGATTCTCGACAAAAACTCTCTTTACAAAAAATACGTCAATGAAGCCTGATTATCAAACCGATTTCTTACAAAGATTACGTATTCTATTCGTACGATCCTATCCTAAAAATATGGTCGGCATTAAGTAACCCATTGAGTTGATATATCGTAAAACGAATAAAGCAAACCAAACCTAAGAATGTATTACTTTGCATGAATAACGGTGCCTACGTGACGTGGCATAATACGGTTGAGTGTATCTTTACAAATAAGAAATTGCGAAACCATGGTGTGTATTTCTGTCTTTATTTTTATTTTATTTTTATTTTTGGCGTCTAAGTTTATGGTGCAGACTACATAAATTTACTGACTCCTATCTAGATTCTTCTGGGTGATATCAACAACAAGTTTTCTAAATCATTCTGCGCTTTATTCTGTAATTTTGCACATATTACGATGTTGGTTATTATTCTCGATTTGATTATTAGAAATGTTTTAATGTTAAAAGGAAAATGACAAATACTCGTTACCAACAGTAAGCGACAAAAAAAGTGTTCAAGTAGGAAAAAAAAGAAAAAGTCTCTACGAAAATCAATATTCTTTTCCATAGTTAATCAGCAAAAAATTAAAACAAAACGGAAAATAATCCTTAAGGAATAATTTCAAGGATACTTTAACTGGATTTTATTTTATTTATTCCATTTGTTCGGGAATTTTATGAAAAATAATTTCAAAAACTTTTTGAGTATCTGAAGGATAAAAGCCATTTTAGTGGCCGCCAGCAATATAAGGATTCAATTGACGCAGTTGAAGTGTCGGAATTTCTCAAGGGTTTTGTGAACACAAGACGCGATTTATTATTCAATCTTCCCACGCACTCATGAAATTGTTATGTGATTAGTATATTTGCACTGTCCAAAATAAGGCAACATTTTATAAGTTCTTAAGCTGGAAATAAACCTTTAGAGAGAACAACTTTTACGCTTTTTCCTACATTACTTGAAGATCTATTAAATAAAGACAAAAATAACATTCTAATCGTTGCATCAGAACTAAGCAACTTAGCAAATATTTTCTAGGTTTTAATACAACTTGGATGAATCAAAATGTGAGGATTGTTTGTGGAAAGATTGTGCTGAACCAAATCTCAAAATTCAGATACCTATTGAAATTCAGCAATAGAAATCTGATCTCTTTTAATGGTGTATATTATCTATTTTTTCACATTTTATGATTCTCAACTTTCTGGAAATTATTTTAGATTCCAAACAATCGTCGAGGTGAGATACTTTGTCTGTAAGTAGATTTTCACGGTAGGCAGAGTTACAAAACAGTGTGTAACTCCTCTCCGTGTTACAAGATACTGATGCACTACAGTAAATCAGGTGGTAAACTAACCTCATTGCCCGTTCCTGCGTTAACTTTACACTAATATTCATCCAATACATAGCCAGAAAGATACTCAAGGTAGAGAGTTAATGATTGAGGTTAGTGAAACTATCGTATTTCGAGGGAGTCGAGTATAATTAACGATTGTCCATAGATTTTAAGAGGTTAAGCGTGTAGGTCTCTAGAAAGCAACCTCGCGGGAGTCGAGGCTACAAAAGTAACGATTCTTGGGAAGAAGCTGCCTGATTAGAAAGTCTTTCTTACCAATGAAAGAAATTTAGAATGAGAATGATTGAAACCTTTAGACTTAGCAAGTAGGGCTTTAGCTGCAAAGGTCTGAACTGTTGGCTCTACAGAATGGAACTTCTGAAATTATACCATGGAATTAGTGACAAAATAGCGATAGGCTTACGATATTGCACCTGTTGGAAACGAGCTGCAGATGGACGATTAAACATCCTACACGCTGCGTAAAAGATTTTGTCAAGACTGGGAATTGAAAATTTGTTAGCACCATCTCAAATATGTCAACAAAACACCGTTTTTGGTCTGATCTTACATTTATAAAGATAAAACAGGAGTCATTTTCTGGAGCTGTGCAAAAAGCCGACTGTTTTTCCATTACCTATACCCGGAGAGGACAAAAATCGAATTGTCGTCCAAATTAAGGTGACCCATTAAGGGACATAACTGGGGAAGATTTAGGTTCTGCTAGATGGTGATTAAACAATAGAAGTTTTTTTTTTTTTATTATTGAACGTTACAAACCAGTCTTTTTCGCATTGAGGTGTTAGAGTTAGGTCGGAGGAGAGATCATCTGTCAGTTCCTATCATCTTGATTTTTGGAGGGGCTACTATAAAAAGTGGTATCACCTAGAGATATAGAATATTTCCCCAAAATGTACTCATTCTTTAAATGAAAATAAATTCTGTGTTTATAAACACATCCTTGCAAACAGGATTAATGGTAAAATTTAGAAATATTAATGCTTATTGTCTTCCAAAGATTAACTGTCTAAATGAAATATGAAATAAAATTAAATGTGTAAATCTGAACAATAACATATCAAAAAGTGATTACATTTTTGGGGCACCGTATAATTTGTGAACAAAAGACGCGTTAATGTTTATAAACATTAATAATTTGAGAAAGGCAGATTATTTCAGATAAAAAGCAGTACGAGAATGGAATTAAAAAGGGAGCCTAGTTGGACGTTAGCATTGATGTAATTGGATTCAGAACGTTAACAACGTTGGCCTACCTAAGAGAAATGACTTTTGTGTAGTAACTCCCTGTGCTACATCTTGTCAAAAGCCTTTCTAATATCTTAAGCAATCTCATTTTTGATTAATTTATTATTGAGCAACTCACTGATTCTCTGCGTAATGAGAGTTAAAACATCAGCATTTGAGCTTGACAAAAGAAATCCATATTTGTCGCTCATGAGGCTGTTTCTGGTGAGGTGATCAAAAACTGCGTAAAATTATATGTATGCATTTTTATATTATCATGAGTGTATACCTTGTCGAAAAGATCAGTACAACTATGACTTTGAAAGAGTAAAAGGACAAACTGGATATCTAACAATCAAACCGTTTTATAACAATGGCAGAAGGTGACAAATACATTCATTCAAAATAAGTGTCTGCAGATACAAAGTTAGTTTGGGGCTACTAGTGAGGATCTGTCTCCGTAAACCCGCTATTACAATGTCAGGGTAGCTTGTTAAGAGAGATTAACATCGATGAACATAATATACTTGATATAACTAATTTGTTAAGTTAGAAGGGTTTGAGGAACTTTAAAAAATCAGCATTAGACATATTGGCTTTTTAACTAGCTTCAAATTCTGATTATTGGTAGCAGTGGGAAAATAACTAATACAAAGTTTAACATAGTAATGATAATATTAGTCGTTTTCCTATAAGGAAACATTTGGCATTCATTGACTGAGCAGCCAGTAATGTTGTCGGTAGAGGGTTATAAAATCTGTCTTTGAAAACACATTTTTTTTTAAAGAAAACAGATTCCTCAGAACTAATAGCTGTTATTTCTCGTTCCAGTATTGACTGAGCTTTCCTTACGTACCTTCTATTTGATATGGTATGGAATGTTAACATCTTGATTGTGTCATTAGTTTCTCTTCGAGTTATATGTGCTATCCATTTTAGTTGTTGCGACTGTTGATAGACCTCAAGTGATGTAGTTTCTGTTATTTGGTACATCTCTTTCATTAGGATTCTGTAGCGTCAGTATATATTAATCAAAGCAGGATGATCTTTGCCAAGACATTCAAGGCTATGTACCACACTGAAGATACTAGGTTACGCACACGGTTAAATGTAATTAACTAGAACTTGGTTAGTGCCAGAGTTTTATTCTCTGAGAAATTCATCACTGCTTATATTGTTTTCTCAGAAGTGAGCTTGCTAACAACTGTTCAATAGCATGTGTATTTGTCATTTAAAATATTTATATCTATATTTCCAATAAAAATGATTTTACTTATAAATAGCCCAACGTTTGTAAGTAATGCAATACTTTTTCAATATGATGTCCCTTTAGGGTGTACTCCAATAAAGTCCTGTATAGAGTTTTCTATGCAGGACATATTTTAAGAGCTTCATGTATTTTTGAGAAGGTAAATATAATCATTTTTATTTCTTTGAATCGGCCTCTAACAAAGACTGAGTTGAATGATTAGATTCAATATTCCTAATGTTTTGTAGTTGCATTCAAAGTGACTTCGTCCTGTAAAAGATCGCAACTCATATAAAAGGTTGCGGTGCTTAATTTTTAGAAACAGTATCACTTTGCTGTTGATGTTCTACCGTTATTCACATGAATGATTTGACCCGAACCAACAGTCTGTTGTCCACACCACCATCATTTTTGTCAAATCAACATTATAGAAATGGCTATATTTGCCCACCATTACTCCCCTAATTTCGATAAGTTGTTTTCATCGTCATCTTAAATATATAAAAATCCAAATATATTTTATATACCTGCCATGCTGATTAATACAAATTTTACTGACCATTTCGACATTATCGAAAATTCGTAGTTTAGTGTGAGACTAATGTAAGCTTAATCAGTGTGAATAATTAGAAGTTTACCTAGATTTTAGAAGCAAGTGAACGCATCTTGATACAAGTACGGAACTACTTGTCTCCCGTTGTCTTTTTAATGGATTACAATTCAGAAAGAATGAGAAGATAGCGTGGTTAATAAACTATACGCTTAGATAACATTCTAACGATGTCTCAGTTGAATGGCTTTAAAAGTTACCGCAAGTCCAACATGAAGGAATTCGTTGTTTCAAAGCCAGTTCGCATACGTACAGTTCATTCCATGGAAAAGATAAGAGTAAATCGTTTTGCGAAATTGCTGAGCAGATAAGAATCGAGTCTCCAAGAGTTTTGGTATGATTTCTTCTGATTAGTAGTCTGCTTGCATTTTTCCGCCTTTCGCTTGTCAGCGTTCGTCGGGCTTCCGTCGTTGAAGAACTTGGGTAGTAATTAAAATCTCGTAAATCAACGGGAGAATTGAAGAAAATTGGCACCGAGTCTGTGCGAAGAGAGTTGAACATGAGGAATGCGTCAGATGAGAATTTAGAACAAGACTAAATGTGGAGGAGAAAGTTCAAATTTGACGTGGGTGGGGAGGTAAAGTGACGAGGCTTGGGAAGATAAGAAAATAAAGAAATGAAGAAAAGAAAGAGAAAATATTGAACTCAAGTGACGAGAAAACCAAATGAGTAAATACAAAAAAAGAAGGAAAATGAGAATAGAAAGACGCTCAGACAAAAAGAAAACGAAAAAAAATTATTAAAAAAAACAAAAAAAAACAAGATAAAATTAAAGAAAGAAAGGTAGAGAAAACATGGAAGTAAAGAAAGATGAAGAAAAGCAAAAGAAAAATGCAAAAGATAAAGAAAGAAAAAAGCAAACCCCAAAGAAAAAAAAGAGAGAGAAAAACAAACATGATAAAAAGACAGGAAGGAAAAAAAAAGGAAAGCAATGGAAAAATACATAAAATATATAAGTAAAGTTAAAACTAAGGAAAGAATAAACTTCATAAATAAATAAATAAATAATGAAAGTCGGAAGTAAAGCAAGAAAGCAGACGATAACGGAAAACTAGAAAGAAAAATGAACAAGACAAAAAGAGATGAAAAAACGTAGTGAAAACAATGAAATGAAAGAAAAAGAACGAGGTCAAGGGACATTATAAGCAATAAATGAACAAATGGATAAAAGAAAGAAATAATGGAATTTGGAAAGAAAGAAAGGAGACGGAAAAGAAAAAAGAAAACTACAAAAACACAAGATAACACGATCGCACAAGAAAGCAGAGTAAAGAAGGACATGAAGAAAAAAAGAAAAAAGAGAAACGGAAATACAAAAAATCAATATTAAAAAGAAAGAAAATAATGAAGAAGCAAAGCGAACAAGAAAGCGAAACAGAAAGAAAGACATAAATATGAAATAAGATCCGGAATATAGTAAGAAAAATAGAAGATGAAAATAAGAATAAATAAATAAAAAAAAATTAGTGAGAAAAGAAAATGTGATAAAGAAATAATGTAATATTAATTAAGGCAAGAGTTCAAGAAAATATACAAACAAGGTAAAAAAAAAAAACAAAAAAAAACAAAAAACAAACAAATTAAATGGAATAGGGAAAGAACGGATGAAAAGGAAAAAAAATAAAAATAACTAAAAAGGAGAAAGAATGGGAAAATAAATCTATAATAAAAAAAAATTATTAAGGAAAGAATGAAAAAGAGAGAAAAAAACAATGAATTGAAAGTAGAAGGAAATCAAAAGGATAAATAGAAAAGAAAGAAAAATAGAAAAAGATGTGAAGACAAAAAGCAAACAAGAAAAAAAAAAAAAATGGAAAAAGAAATAAGATAAAAAAAAAGCGTCCATTGAAAATGGAAATAAAACACGAAAACGAGAAGAAGGAAGAAAAACTTCGAATAGAAAATAAAATTAAAAGAACACAATGGAAAACATAGAAAGAAAAAAAGAAAAGTAAAAGGAAGAAGCACGCAAAATAAAAAAAAAGAATGTAAGGTAAGAAAAGAAAAATACAAAAAGCAAAAAAAAAAATGAAATAATAAAAATTTAAATAAAGTAGGAATTAAAAATGAAGAGAATCCAAAGAAATAAAGAAAGAAAAAAAAATCGCAGTTATGCTTTAATTAAAGTTCTGTGCTAACAATTACTTTTCTTACACTTCTCGCTTGTGTAACTCTCTTCCGGTTTCTTGGTTTCTAGTTTTGATTTAAATGCAATGTCATCCGTATCCTGTTTTCTCTTACATTCGGTTCTTATATTGTTCTTGCAATTTTAATAATATTTTTGTTCTTATATTCTTTCACCCTCATTAACCACTTGTGTCTTAGTGGCATTATTACCTTGTCTGGGGTGAAATGATTAAAATAAAGGAATAAAGCGGGATGTGAGAGAATATAGTGTATTGGTAGGTCAGAATGCGAGAAATAAAAGAATAAACGAAAATTAAGAAAAACGCACAGGCACACAGACACACACACACACACACACACACACACACACACAAACATATATATATATATATATATATATATATATATATATATATATATATATATATATATATAAATTTGAAAATTTGAGTATTTAGGCAGCAAATTCTCTTTTAACCACGTCTGATTAAATAAATTATAAACATTATGTCTGCTTATTTTTAGCATAATCTTTTCATATTCTCGAATATCTTCCCGTTTATTACAATCAAATTTGGTAAGAAATGCACTGTAACAGTAAACATCACTTTTATTTCCCAAGTACTTTCATCATCGGGGGTGTAACTGGTAAGGCAAAAACTATATGTAGCTATGTATTACTGATTTTTTTTTTATTTTTATTCTTTAACGTTCATTAAAACGTGAAAAAATATCCATTATGGAACTTTTTCTTTTATGTTCGAATGTTATGTTCAAGCGCGCATTAAATCGTGAAAACTGTTCCCCTTATAGGCACCCTAGAACATTATTACAGTATTCGTAGCTGATTCTATTCAGTGTCGGTTCCATTTTTTAAAAATGTAGATTGCTTTGAGGATCTGTAGTTTTAATTTGCCATTTTCTTTATGTAGGATAGTTTTTCTATCACTCAGTACTCTTCACACTTGTGAATCTGTGAAGGAATGTTAGTGCAAATGTTCCGCAATGGACGAAACGCTCAGACACGTGCAGAGCAAGACGTCTTAAAAAATTGAAGCTGAAAACATTGAAATTTATGTATTATTTTCGTTTTCATTATATCCCGATATATATATATATATATATATATATATATATGTATATTTGTGTGTGTGTGTGTGTCTGTGTGTTTTGTTAGATAGATTGATTAAATCCTTGTATTTCAAGTTACAGTGTGTATCAAAAGTTGATCCAAGACTTTTCAATGGAATTAGGTAAACGGATCTAATTTGGATCTGTTAATGGCTGAGATAGCACGAAGTCTCAAGTCACTGAGACCGAGGATTTTGGTGTATCAGCCTTTTTTAGATTGTTGATCACCCCAGATAATGCGTTATCTCCCAGAAAGTGTAAATATGATTCACTAAGCATAGTTACCGTATAAGCTACAGGTGGGCTCTTTGGGTGTTGAACAAAACACAAATGTGCCTGAGCAGGCGACTGCAACAGGGATTGTCTAACCGCCTTAGTAGATGCTCGGAAATGAGTGGCTAGCTATTATACCGTACATACTCGAACATAGTGCTAGATTTTATGATCAGTTTTCTACGCAAAAAGCAAGAGGTCGCAGTATACACGGGTAATTTCTTCGAAGAGTTTTAAAATCATACATTTTCGTAAACACAAGCAATCTTTTTTCTGCAGTGGTTAAAATTCAATTCGTAACCTAACTAGTAATCTTGCAGTCACATGATGCTTTTGGCTAATCTTAAAGATACAGTTAAGCTACTTTAGCCAAACTCCCGTATTTTAGATTCTTTCTGTTGCCGTCCTGGGTATGACGATAAACTGCATCCGGCAGCAAAGCGTCTGATTGAAAGATTTTGAATAGCGGGGAACCACCTCTTAATTGATGTTTTTTCCCGGGTCCACCTTGACCCTGGTTGATAGCAGCTGTTAGTAAATAGTTAACCCCCAGACTGGGGCCAAAACACTATGAAAGTATAAACATAGTAAAAATACCAACAATAGATTTTCATAGTAAAAAATTACCAGCAGTACATCTTTTTAATAAATGAATAAACAATTATGAGCAATGAATTTTTTGAAAAATAAAATTATCAGCAACATATTTTTGTAAAAGAAATTACTAATACTCCCAAGGAAAATAAATTTCGGCATTAAATGACCCATAAGGAGTTGATATGCAGCTAAACGAACAAACATACAAACATATTGTTTCCGCTGCTACATGATGAGTCATTCACTATTTGTACCGCTTACAATCTACAAATAGCTTATATAAAGAAAAAATTAACAATGTTTGTTTTCTTTTCTTCCATTTGCGTTCATCCCCTTGTTTATTTCGCCGAAGTATTTCTTTTCCAACGACACCCCCTTTAGTATGACATATATATATATATATATATATATATATATATATATATATATATATATATATATATATATATGTGTGTGTGTGTGTGTGTGTGTGTGTGTTTCAGTTATGTTCCTTCTTCTGTCTTCCTTTGTTTATTTATATTTATTTTTATTTATTATATTCTTCACATTTACTGGTATTATTTTATCTTATAATTCTCCGTTACACAACGAATACCAAAGTATAGTGTCGAAATCTTTGTATCATATTTTAAGGTAAGTTTTTTTCGCCATTTTGAGGGAGCTGTGTACAAAAAAATAATAAAGCCTATTCATTTGCTATAAAATATGTCCAGGATGATGCCAAGTACTGCAATATTTGACTACGGTAGGCTTTCGAGCATTATTCAGAAGCTGGGGTCGCATTATACACGAGCTATATGAAAAATAACCAGATTTTTAACAAAAAAAATCAGTGGTCACCCTGTAATATAGTTTTATACATGAATATATATGGTATTTATTTTTTACAATGCAAGGAAATTATCTGTCTATTTTTCCCACTCCTGAATCACACTGTGCAGATATTTTGCTAGACAAATATGAGGATCTTCTGGTAGGAACATTTATATTAGAATCTGTCAAATGTCTTGCAATACATTCATAATTACGAAAAGATAACAGGGAATGTCTTCAGCTATCGCAGTATAACGGTTTTCTTTATCAATACTTCAATCCTTATCTACCCCGCCTACTGGCATACTTAACTTAATCCATTTACGGTATGACGAAAAAATGAGTCGAAACATTGCAGATATCGTGAAGCCTTATAGTACCTTTTTTTTTGCACCGGTAATGCTTATTTGGATACAAAAGAAATATTTTTCTATGTGCTGTGTACCTTTACAATGTGAAGGATCATGGCTCTCCATAAACTTCTTGTCCTTTATAATTCTAGGTAAGTTTTGTCTTTTTGCAAGCTTTCCTAGACACTGTTTTGTCATCCATTTACACAAGTTCGTTCGGTAGCTAGCAATTTCACACGGACGTGGATTGGCTTCTCTACGTGTTTTCTACAAATATACTCAGAAGCAACTCCTCTGACGAGAATTTCCCTTATGTTACATGAATTTAAGCGTGCTGCTAGATTGACACGTCCCACCGTTTTACTGTTGAAATCTCTAAATGCAACTGCCACTTCTACGCCAACACTTTATTTTCTCGTAAGTCCTTGGGACTCTCTTCTATTTACTTGTTCCGTGATAAATACAAACTTCACAAAGTTAAATGCAACGTCAATCGCCATCTTCTATCTTCTTGATTCCCGTTAATCTTTTGTTATTTCCTTAACCCTTCCCATATTCAATCTTTTCTTTCACTTTCAATGTTTGTAACCCTCTGCGCACAAGTGGCATTCCCGCCTTGCTTGGGGTGAAATGATTAAAAATAAAAGAAAAAAGAAAAAAAGGTCGTTCGCAGCCGTCTTTTGTCTCTCTTGATTTAAATATATTCTGTGGGTATTATATCTTTCTCATTACGCTCCCTAGAAATTTAAACTGTCTCTTTGTGACGCATAAGCTTCCGATTCGTTTCATTTTGCTTAAAACTTCAGTATAATATGTTTATACTCAATCTTTCAGTATAAACACATTTCTGTGGTCTCAAGTCTCTTCTTCATCTGTGAGAAGATTGTACAGAATTCATTGCCATGTTAGCGGGCTATATAAGAGGCTAATATTTTCCACTGACAGGGACGGGAATGGTTATATTGAACCAGTTGCTAGATCCACTGCTAGGAAAGTTGTTTCACTGGGTCGTGCTAGATAATTTCACACATCAGAATCTATCCTACGCTTTTATGTTTACAATTCAACCATGCATTGAATACTGCTGTCACATCTGGTC